TTCTTTTTTTTTTTTTTTTTGGTAATGAATATACTATGAAATTTCTAGGTTTCTAGAAGGTTTATTCGAACACGAGAGAAGAGTTTGAATCAGATTTGAAACTGGTCGGAGGATTTGATTCGAGAATTAAAGAAAGTGATTCTGGTGACTATACATCAAAGAAGTTATTATTTAATTATAGAAGGGAAGGAATTATAGAAGAGAATCTGTACGATCAATAATGTGATCAGCTAATCATTATACAATTATCGATAAAACCATTCATTATTAAAAATATAATATTCATAAATGAACTTATTGCTATATGAAGAGAAAACAATATTTCAATTTCTTATTAAATTTATTAAAATAAAAATACAAGTATCCAGTAATTAAATGCATTATTTATTCACAAAATATCCTTCGCAAAATCCATCACAAATTAAAGGAAAGGTAACCAAGTATACATAACTTGCTTTCATTTACACAAATAAAAAAAAACAGATGGTTATCTTCAAAGAAGTTAAGTTTATTATTACTGCTAGAATTAAAAATTAAATTAAATATTGTCCAAAAACTTTGTTACGACCAAGGAGTCGAGTTTTATCGAAGAGGTGTTGGACCAGGTGGTGGTGGTAGCCAATCCTCGCAAGTTCTTACCGCACTTTACGGTTGCAACCGTGTTACGACAGGTGAACGGAGGCCGCATCGCGTGGAAGATCGATTTTCGTCGGATGATGGGTGCGGTCGTGATATCGCACGCGATAACGGTGCAACGATGCGTTTAATTCATCAATGTGACAACGTTCGCGCTCATAAATTAGCACCATCCAAGTTACTTGAATATCGAGTGGGTAACAGGGCTCGATGTATCGGAACGAAATTTCAGTTTGTAACGCGTTAAATAAATTACTTCCCATTGGATCCATTTATCTAGTGTCACTCCTTATGAATAAAAAATTGTAGATAGTTAGAAATTTAATTAAGATTCTATTATATATATGTATATATTTATCTCGTGCTCGTAAATCTTGTAATTTTAAATTTATAATTAGGACAAGTTTTTAATATAATTTTTAATGTTCTTTTTGTATTATGGGTTTTTTATTATACATATTTGAAGACTGTTAATGTCGATTAATTAATTTTTATAATGATGATTTATACACAGTTTATTTGTATATGATATGTAATTTAATTGTCTGTTTATAAAAATGAGAAGTTAAGGATTTAGGGGTAGGATTTAATTCAGGACAGGATTTTGATCTAATGATGAAATCATTAACAACGATTACAAAATTATAAAATTTTTTATTATAAATTACAAAATTGTACAAAATATAATATTATTTATTTTGTATGTATATATATATTTATTTACTATAATAAGAGGGTCCAAAAATTGTAAATTCGTAGTTGCAGATCCTCGAATCCTCCACACCTCGAGAAATCACTTAGCTTTTCCGTTAGAAAGTGGTCGAAATCGTTAAACTGGTGCTCGTTGCACAAATTACACGTTTTACTACTCTCAGAATTCGTTACACCGTGTTGATAACTAGAAGGACGCAAGGATCGAGATATCGTGGAGAGATCTCTGGTGTGGATGTTACGGTTCGCAATTTATAGTTGATGTAAAAGATACGAAACCGAGCGTGCAAATACCAGAAGAGAATCATCCTTTTTTTTCCCTTCATGTTTTTCCCGCGATCCGTGCAATCGTCGGGTCAATTACGACCACCACTGATTACAATTTCACCTTCGTCCATAGAGAAAAAAAGAAACTAGATTCATTGTTGAGAAGGAATTGAGTTTTAAAGAAGAATTTTCCTACAAGATTTATCCCGAATATTTTAATTCCGTATAATTCTGTACAACGCGTAAAGTGTAATTCTAAGAGTAATTTTTGTAATTCTTCGGGATGTCTCGGTATTTTTTGAAGAATAATATTATGAAAAAAATGTTCGATATTAATTTTTCTAGATGGACGCATATAAACTTGACTTTATCGAAAAATTGTCGATACTTTGTTTTATAAATTTTTACAAAATTCTTGTGACTATACGTCAAAGAAGTTGTTATTCAATTAGAAGGGAAGAAATTATAGACGAAGAGAATCTGATCTACGATCAATAATGTGATCAGTTAATCATTATACAATTCGATAAAATCATTCATTATTAAAAATATAATATTTATAAATGAACTTATTGTTATATAAAGAGAAAACAATATTTCAATTTTTTATTAAATTTATTGAAATAAAAATACAAATATCTAGTAATTAAATGCATTATTTATTCATAAAATATCCACGCATATATTATCCTTTGCAAAATCTATCACAAATTAAAGGAAAGATAACCAACTATATATATCTTGTTTTCATTTACACAAATAAAAAAAAAAATCAAAGGTTATCTTCAAAGAAGTCAAATTTATTATTACTGCAAATGCAGATATAGCTTTAAAAAAAAAAATAATCTTCAGAAAAAAAAAGAAAAGATACTTTAACCAATTCCTAAAAGTCACTTTCCTTTACTCTTTACCCTTCTCGAATTAGCTAATATAATATAAATAATATAATATAATATAAAACACATAAATCGGTACGAGTTTGCCAATTTCTCTTCGAAATCAAATACGAAATTGTCCAACTCTTCTCTTCTCGCGTCGAAGGAGCAATAAATAAGCAATAGAGTGAATTTTATAATGGAAAAAGCTTTTCGTCTGCATAGCGTTTAATAAACGACTCGTTACTTTCCCCGCGTCGTAAATTAAACTTGAGGGGGATTTTGGAAGCCCCTCTATTCTAGATATAAATTTGCACAGGGATTTTCGATGAGCGTACTGAAACGTTTGCACCGCGTTTCCTACGTCGATTGGCTCGGATTTACGGGGCTAGTGGAGTCCATAAAGTTCTCCAATTTATGGTGTATTCGAGCGAATGACTGGTGAATGGGTCGCGAAACGATGGAACGTTAGTTCAGAAGGAAACAGGCGGAAAAACTGGTATTAAAATCTGCGCCAATGCATCTCATCGAGATTTCTCGTGTTTGGAAGATCGATTTATATATCGTTCGAAGTTTGTTGAATAATTTGAAGGATGAAGAATTTAATCTTTAATTGATGCAAATGAGAGGAGTATAAGGGGTAAAATAATTTTATCTAATGAAAAATTATATAAATTGTATAAAAATTGTTAAATAGTGTTCTGCATTGAAAATAATTTCTCTCTCATTTGATAAAGATTGAAGTTGAGTTTGAGCAAGATTTTTTTCTTTTGAGTAAGATTTTGTAAAGTACAATTTAATAAAAAAAAAAAAAAAAAAATAATGGATCAAATTGTGCATTCTTATTAATCTTTTTAAATAAAGACAGAAAATATTTATATCGTAAAAAAAGAATGGTAAATTTAAGAGGTAAAATTTCTTTTAAAGAAAACTTTTTTCAAAAAAATTTAAATAATTTAAGTTCTTGTTAATGATCGAAGAAAAGATAAAATTTTGGAATAAGAAAATTCTTTTTTTCAGAGGATTGATAAGAATTAGATCGATAGATAGAATTTTTTAATTAAAAAGGAAAACGAAGAAATGAATAAATAAATGGAATAATTCTAGTTTCATCAGGACGCATAAATTTAATTCAAAACGAAAGGAAAGTATACCATTTGTACACAGATTTTTCCGCCACGACAGAGTATAAGAATTTATGTGAATCGACAAATGCTATACAAATGTAACATTTAAAGGTGTAGATATTTCCACGATTTTTAATTGATCAAAATCGAAGCGTAATTATTATTCAACGTGGATCACTGTGCCGTTAGTTCAATAACGATAAAACTTTCGTGCGTGATTTTAAATGTCGTCTATAAAAGCGATAAAATAAAATTGTTTAACA